CCAGTCCTGCCTGGATGCCGCTGGGCGGCGCCGTGCTGCTGCAAAGCTGTAACGCTGCGGAGCAGGCACGCACTCACAACTGCAATCGTCACACTTGATTGATAGACCGACAGCGGGCGGCGACCAGTCGACCTTTTGCTGCACCTACGCATCCAGCCAGGCAAACAGAAGCCGTCGTACCCAACCGGAAGCAGAACTCTTACCACTCCGATGTTCCAGAAACACGGGAGTGAGCCTCAGTCGTGCCTGCTCGCGTCTTCCTCGCCTCATGTGTTCAGCAATGTCCAGCGACACTATGCGAGGTACAGCCCAACTACTATAATGGCCCAACACTGTAATATCGAGGGCCAAGCCAAACATCGAGTGTTCTGTGCGCTTCCTCGTGCTCGCTCTGAGCAACTTCCGCCTCTGCGGGTCTCAGGCTTTCTGGCAGGACGGTTTAGGGTTTAGGGTTTAGGGTTTAGGGTTGCTTGACAATAGCATGTTGTAATGTATTACAGTATTTCTCATACGGCTTTTTGCAGTAGCATGGTGTAGCATGCTGTAGTATACTATAGTGTTTTTATAGTATCTTATAGCTTAATAATACGATGGAGGCACTTTCCCTGCCATCCGGAATACCCCTAAACCCTAAACCCTAAACCGTGGCTCTGAACGCCGAAAACCACAAGAAACCCAGAGGCTCCAGGAATTTCTTCGGGTTTAGTAAAGTAACCTCCAAAAAAGTCCAAATGCCAATAGGGGCTTAGGGTTTAGGGTTTAGGGTTTACGGTTTAGGGTTTAGGGTTTAGGGTTTAGGGGCTTAGTAAGTTAGGGTATCAGTACCTTACATTGGGGTCACAAATAAATGTTGAGGATAGTTACCGTGTGCATCACACTAGTTGTTAAGTCCCATGATCCATAGTATGAGAGGCTTGGGTCTCTCACCCGGGTTCCTGACTACATTAAACACACGAGCAAAGATCATCATCCTGAAACTGAAACAGTCATCCATGAACCCACAAGCACACATCCTCAAATGCTCTTTCCCAATTCGTCAGAAAAGAGAGAGCTCGAATAAGGAATTTACCTCAAGTTATAGGGGCCTCAGTAGTCGTAGAGTTTGAGGCAAGGGGCCGAAATCAATAATTACCAATACTATTTCGAAGGTTCCTGATTATAAACTTAGTCTAATATAACCCCAAAAGCCTATTCTAATTATTAAGGCCCCTTTTTTCTATGTTCTTTAATAAAGAGGTATCAGGCTTTGTGGGAGAGAGGAGAGAGGCTGCACGATCCTGCCTTCCGTCTCAGCTCAGCCTGATCCGGGAAGGGAAGCAACATCTAGCGCATAGGGTGGCTCTTGGGCCCTACGCCCTAAATCGAAAGCCATGCACCAGAAAAAACCCCAAACCGAACCAAACCGAAACCCTAAATACCAAAACCCCAGATTCAGCCATTGAGGGCTCAATGCTCAGGCGGACAACCTAAACCCTAAACCCTAAACCCTGTTAAAAAGTTAAACCCAACAGCCCTAGCTCCTTCTGGAGCCCTTCCAGATCCTTAAAGCAGCCGTTAAAGGCGGTCGATTCTTGGAGGCAGTGACAAGACATAACGATACAATGCATCCATGATCCATGTCCACTCTTTAGGGTTCAGGGTTGGGGGTTTAGGGCTGAGGGTTGACAAGGGTTTAGGGTTTCGGAGTAGAATCTTAACTTACTTCCCCCAGAAGCCAGGGAAACAAAAGGCTAAACTTTCAGATTACTACTAAATTACAAGAACCCAAAAGGATTAAAGGCTGGGCATTGGGAAACTAAGTTAACCCATTCATGAGTCGACCTTTCTGTTTTGCGCGCCGAAGCAATGCGCGTCGAAAATGGAGCTCGCTGCTCGAGTTTTCGGGCATTGTATAAGGGTTTAGGGTTTAGGGTTTTCGGTTTAGGGTTTAGGGTTTAGGGTTTAGGGTTTAGGGTTTAGGGTTTAGGGTTTAGGGTTTGGGGCATTGTATAAGGGCCTTCAGAAGTTGAATAGGGTTTGGTGTCTAGGGTTCAAGTAAAATGGGGCCTTAAGAACAACAAGGCTTCGGGCTCGGGCTTGCGGCTCAGGGACTTTGAGAATCAAAGGATTACGATTCGATAAGGGTGTCTAGTACAGAAGCCTTGGAAACTTCGATCGCGTTTGGGACATATTCTAATTCTACTATACGAAGGAAAACAAGAACGTATGTATGTATGCATGCATGTATGTATGTATGTATGTATGTATAGCGACTTCAAGGCGGCAATGCTGCAAAGTATTCCGACCCACGTACTACTGGATGATGGCATCAGATTTCTCGAAGTCGAACTTCTTGAAGAAGAGCGAGATTCGCTCGGTGCCTGGCGACGGCTCGCGCTGTTTACGGAAACCCAGAAAAGAAACATAATTACTGAGCATATATGTTGTAGTGCCTCTACGCTGTTCATGACTCCGGGGGATTTTAGACATTCTCTTTGCTGCTCTTTCGGAGCCTCGCGATGTTTCTGCGACGCCTCTAGCGAAATCTGCTAGGCCTGGACTCCGTGACGGTTTTGGGTCTAAAGCTTACAATTCAGGGCTCAGGGCTTAAGAGCTTAGGGCTGACCGTCTAGGGTTTCATTAATTAAGCTCTAGGATACCTTAAGAACCCAAAACCACTTTTTTTGCAGGTTCTTGTTATAAACCCTAATATGGGATTTACAGGGACCCTACAAAAAAGTAGGTTTTGGGTTCTTAAGGTAGGATATAGCATGCAGGACCCAGGAAATCCACCTTCCGCAACTCTCCCTGAATGTGGCCTTTGACGTTGCCCTTCGCATCCAGCTTCAGAGACGCAATCTCCTGCCACAACCGTGACAGCTCTGTTTAGGGTTCAGGGCCAAAAACAAACCCAGAGGCTCCATGTACCTTTATAGTAGATACTTAGGCCTTATAGGGGTCTCTATATTGGTACTTTAAGGCTTAAGTATCTACTATATGGGTACATGGAGCCTTTGGGAAAGATTGAATCAACGCATGGGGGCCTACCTATGCCCAAGCGTGAAACCGACCGAGATAACTCCTTGAAATTTCGGTGCCTGAGAATAGAGTTTGAGGCATAAACTGCTATATCTACACAAGGGAGGCTAAGGAATAGCGTTAATTCCTTGTACGATGCCTTTAAACCCTTTAGGAAACCTTGAAACAATCAATATAGGCCCTAAACCCTAAATATAGGGGCCTTAGTACTGGGAATAGGCTTTAGGGGTCCATCTGCATCGCAGGACGGCCCAAAAGGCTTAAGCTTGCCTACTCAGCCCCTCAGCTGCTCTTGCCATTCCAGACTAATGTAGGGGCCTTAATAATTAGAATCGGGCTTTTGGGG